GGTGATCTGCTTCCATAAATCTCAGAGACCTGGTGGGGGGGGGTGAGCCCGAACCTACTCCGTGGCAGTGAGTTTGGGTTTGGTTCTTCTGCCCGTTTACAGTGGGATTACCTTGACTCTTTTGTTGCTGGAGGGTGGGACTCGTCACGGCCCTGTGCCCCCGTGAGGGTGTGCATGTGACGCTCTGGGAAGGTTCACTCTCTTGCTCTGGTCCTGCATTTGGTTCGTCGTCATCTCGCCCCTGGACTTGAGGCAGCAGCGGGTCATCTGACCTGCCAATTTGGGTTCTCCAACCCCTGCAATCACGTGACTGGGGAGAATCCTCCAGACGTACCCACAGACCGGGGACTTGCCAGCCTGACAGCCTCCCAGCCTCCGCCATCACCACCAGCTTGTGAGCCGTTTCCTTGGGAGTCCGGGAGTTCTTGAGACTTTATAGTGAAATAGGGAATCCGGAGACGGGAGGGAGAGTGCTGAGGGCAGGAGGAGGAGTTGACGTCAGACATGACGGAGTAGCGTGGCAGTTTGGCAGAGTTGGACGTTTGGGGCATCTTTAACCTCCACCTCATAGGCAGCCTTGTGTGGATCCTTCTAAGAGAAGTGATTCAAGCAGTCTCCTTCCGGGCTGTCTGTTCCTTCACCACCATACTGTCCCGAGCACGGTTGGTTGCTTCCTAGCGAGTGTCGAAGTGGCTGGTGTCGAGCCCTAGCTCTGTTTTTTGGTGTCATCTTGGCTGTTCTTGAACCTTTCCATTTAAACTTTGGAATCAGTTTGTCGACATCCACAAAATAACCTGCTGGTACTTCGATTGGAGTTGCGTTGAATCTATAGATCAACAGCCTATCTATAGATCAATCTACAGATCAAGTTGGGAAGAACTGACATCTTAATAATACTGAGTCTTCCCTCCACGAACATGGACTCTGTGTCCATCCATTCAGATCTTTAAACCTGGATGTTTTGAAGGTTGACGAAGTAATAGTTCTGGCCAATTGGGTGTGGGGTGTGAGAGGAAGAGACTTGAGGGAGGCTTGTAGGATTTTGGCTTGAGTGCGGGATGGGTGGAGCTGGGGGCTGGGGCAGTCTGGCAGGTGATCCCGGACCTGGTGGATATGGTGCCACGCCTTGAGGAGCCCCTGACCGTGCAGAGCCCAAGGAGGCGAGTGGGCAGATGGGCACAGGGGACTCACGTCAGGATGGATGTCACCTTTGGTCCCTACGGGTCTGTGTGTTGTTACCAAGGAGGAGCAAGTCGCTGAGATCAGGAGCGCCTGGGAGACTGAGAGATGAGACGCTGGTGAAGGGGGCTGTGGGGAGTTGGTGTGGCAGGTACTTCCAGAAGGGGGCGAAGTGCAGGATGGCCCCCCTTCTTTTTTAACTTTTTTGTTGTGATTTAGGTGAACGTTTACAGAGCAAATTAATCTTCCATATAGCAGTTCATACCCGTTTTGTCTCATGACATTGACTGCAGTTTCCCAGCGTGGGCCAGCTCTCTGCCCACTTCCTCCCGGAGTCACCTCTTCCCTGTGTGCTTCCCTCCCAGCTCACCCCCCGAGCTGTCTCCCTGTGCAGATACTGCCCTTCTGTCCTCCTATGACTGACCTCTCCAAGGAGTGTGTTCTGGTTCCCAGGGCCGCTCTGACAGGAATACACCACAAACGGGACGGCCTTAACAAACAGGAGTTTATTCTCTTACAGTCTGGAGGCTAGAAGTCTGAGTTCAAATGCCAGGCTCTAGGGGCTGTGTGAAAGCCCTTTGACCTTGGGCTTCAGCTCGGCCTCTTGCTCCAGGCCCACTGAAGCTGGAGGCATCTCTTCCTCAGGCAGCTATAGGCTGCTGAGGCTAACAAGCCCAAGGTCAAAAAATAAAACGGCACAGTCCTGATGTTACCAAACCACAGGGCAGGCCATGAATTCAAGTCCATTGAAAGTCCCAAGGTCAGCAGAGCATGGCAGGCTGCTGAATAACGACACGGCTACATGCAGGGTCCAAGCATGCCATAAACTAGGGACCATTCCCAAAGGAGCTACTCAGCTGCTTATGGTAGGTCCCACCATGGAGTGGATTGTCAGTCTCATCGTGGGGAATAACTACCACCAGCTGTCCAGCCACTCAACCAGGCCCAGCCAAGATGACACACAAACAACCACCACAGAGTGTATCTACCTGATGTAAATGTTCACCCCCTGTGCCTGCCTATTGTTAGGCTGGAGTGAGTTCAGGAGTGAGCAGTTCCAGACCTGAGGGGTGACTAGGGGGTATAGTCTCGGGGTCTCACCAGCAGATGGCCCCATTTTGTCAGTGAAGTGTAAGGTCCTGTGCCAAAGGGGGGCAGGCAGAGCAGCCATGTGCAGGGTCAGGGGAAATGGCAGAGGGGCTAGCACTCTCGGAGCCCACTGGACCTCCGTCTTCCTGCAGCCATCTGGGCCGGCACCGGGCCAGCAGCTTCCAAACCACATCTCCCTTTACCCCTGTCCACCCCCCAGTCCACTGTCCCATGAAGGGGACACTGAGGCCCAAGGCCACCCAGTCAAAATAACAGTCTGGCCGACTGGGTGAAGTGGGAAGGGCCAGCAAAGCTTGTTGGGCACCTGGGGGTGTGGGGCAGGGCAAGGTGGGGTCCCTGTGCCTGGCCACCGTCCTGACACATTGGGCCAGGACCTGGGCTCAGCTGACCTCCCGGGCCCCACAGCTGCTGCTCCTTTGAGGCCCCTCTTGGGTCAGGCCACTTGTTTAGGCCCCTTAGGTCCAGAGCCCAGCTTCCCACTCAGGCTGCCCGCGACCCCGTACACGAATGAGCGCCTCTTGGCCCCTCTAGCCTGGCCTCAGCCCACGCCTGCGGGTGTCCCTTGTCCCCTCCACCCCAGCCAGGCTAATGCAGCCAGGCCTTCCTGGGACGCTCCTTCTGCACATGTAGGGGACAGCCGGGTGGGCTGGAGGGCATCCAGGGTGAGGGACTGGTGGCAGGGGTGGGTTACCCAGTAAGGTAAGCACACACTTCTTTGTGCTTAATTACTAATCTGGAGCAAATAACATGAAATGAAAGATATGCTGACAACCACGTGGAATTGTTGGTTCCAGGTTAGTAAGTGCAAGGAAGGCTGTGCTTAGCTTGCTGACTGGATCCTCCATCCCTGTTGGACTGTCAAGGGGAAAAGAGGCTTAGGTTCCACAGGAGGCGGCTGTGGGCTTGGGAAACAGGTGCCAGCCACACCCAGCAGCAGAACCTGGGACAGGTGGAAACATGACGGACTGTCCACTACAGACGAGTAAATAAGCATAAGCAGGGCTGTGCTTACCTTGCTTCAAAAAACCAAAACCAAATTCACTGCCATCGAGCCGATTCAGACTCAGAGCGACCCCCTTTGGGTTTCCAAGGCAGTAAATCTTTACGGAGGTAGATGGCCCAATTTTCCTTCTTTTGAGTGGCTGGTGGGTTTGAACCGCCAACCTTCTGGTTAGCAGTTAAATGCCTTAAGAACGAAGCCACCAGAGCTCCCTTCACCTTGCTTATTACAGGGCCTGACCCTGGGCCGGTGCGGGGTCCATAGGGTCACCCAGTCTGTGGAGGGGGCGGTGGCCCCTTGGTGGCAGGCAGGGTGAGGCTCATGGGTTTCTGCTGGTCCCACCGGGAGCCGCAGGCTTTAAGCACGCAGTGTTGCAATCTGCTGCAGCTGGGTTGGAAGAGGCTCTCGAGGAGTCCTGGGACAGGGGACGTGATCTGGGAGCAGGGGGCTTGGTATAACGAGGAGGTGGGGAAGGGCGGAGGCGAGGGAAGCCAGGTGGGGGAAGGTGACACCAACAGCTGCGATCGGAGGTTGTGCGGGGCAGCTGAGGGCGAGACGAGCGTCCTGCCGGCAGCGCCCCTCCACCCACTGTGCCTCCCGGGGAGGTTCTGGGGCAGCCGCGCACACCGCAGAGCGGGCGCAACACGCGGGGCCGCGCTCGCAGCCCGGGCGGGTGGGGATGGCTTTGTCCGCTGTGCACC